TTGCACTGGCTCTTTGCTGGTTAGTGTCTTTACTAACAGCCCAGGCAGTAAGAGCGTTACTGAGACCACAGGTGATGGAGATGAAAAGATTAAGGAACCGCTAGAGGAAGAGGAGGCTGCGCTGCTCAGAAGCAGTGATGAGACTCACCTGAGGGAAATAAATGAGCAGCAGTTGGGTGCCAGACCTGGGACTGTGCCGCCCCAGCACGGTTGGGCTGGGGAATTTTTCTCTGAAAGACAGCAGGAGTGCCAGAAACTGCTTGGAACAAGCAGTGATGGCCTCAGGGGCTGATGTGGTCCATGGAGGAGAGCAGGGAAGGTCACACTGGAGTGGGAACGCTGCTGTGGCCATCGCAATGCCCACTCCAGCCTGGCGAATGCAGCACAGGAGACAGGTACGGCTCTGCCCAGAAGGGATCTTGCTGCTGCATAGGGAGCCCGTGGCTCTTACCTGCTGCCCCCTGAGCATCCAAATTGCAGTGTAATACACAGTATTATTAATAGCAACCTACATCAATAGACGAATTCATTGCTAATTCCTGCCTGGTTACCTGTGCCAGTAACTCGTTATGCTACAGCGATGGCCCTTGCACCTCCGAGCAGCAGGAGAGGAGCAGCGGGGCATTTGCACGGGGGTTGGACTGGATGACCTTTAAAGGCCCCTTCCAGCCCAACCTATTCTATGATTCGCCTCCCTCCCACCGCAGTTTTATCCCGGCCCCTGCAAGCCCGAGCTGGAGACCCACAAGAGGGCGGTCAGGATTGCGCTTTCCCTTCAACTGCAGCATTTTCCACCTTAGCGTCCCAGGGAGGCTTCACCACAAAGTTGCTTTGGAACTTCTGCAGCCACTGACAGCTACTTTCTGAAGAGAATGTGCTGGGTGTTACCCTATGCCATGGTATATACAGATAATGGAAAACTTTTACTGCAGATGAAGCAGCTCTTTATTAATCATAGTCCCTGGGATGTTTGTGCTACATGGGACATCTGTTTTCGAGCTGCACCAGTGAGCAGGCCCCCAGATCATATGGCTGATCATGCTGGGTTTTATACCATCTGGGTGCTCACAAAGTTTATGCTGGGTTTTTGAAGACTGAAGCTTCTTCTCTCCTTTTTTTTTCTTAACATCTTTTTTTTCCCCTAACATCTTTTTTTGTCCCAGAAAACTTAAAGCAATCATATTAGATTCAGAATATTAGACAAAATTCAACCTCTCCATCTGAGCTCCTGAGGAATGGTAAATCATTCTCAGCACTGAACTCAGCTTTAAGAACACGGTCTCTGCCACAAGTTTCACTCGGATCTAGATACTACCACTGCACTGCCATTGGTATTATATAGTTGTGGTTTTGCCAGCTCTTGACATTTCCTCACGTCCTGCTCCTTACCTCTCTCACATTTTTTTCCCCTCCAGAACAAGTGCCATGAGTGCTGCCTTCTTCTTCTTCTTGTGCACAGCACAGCTGGCAGGTACAGAACCTTTCCAGCTGTTCTCCCCTCCAGTCACTCCACCCGCCATCTCTGCTTCTCTCTCTCCTGCCTCTTCGCTTTTTCTTGTCCCCTCCTCACCCGCTCGTGCATTTCTCCTCAAACCCTCATCTGTCCTCGTCCATAGAGCTTAACCTCCCCTGCCTCACCCACCATGGTGCCACCTCTCCTTACCTCCAGATGCTCTTCACTTTCACTGCCTGGAGCTGTTTTCTTCCAAATCCACCCAAAATCCTTTCCCATTTGGCACTGGTTTGTGGTTTAGATACCTTCTACAACCAGTCAACCATTTTTTTCTTGAAAGAATATACAGCTTGGGGGAACGTCGGTCCGTGTCAGTCATTCAGAAGCAACTAAACGGCAGGAAAAAAAGTGCTCCGCTCCGCCTTTGGCCCCACAAGGAGTCACAATTGCAAAACCTTTTCCTGAGGAGGTGCTCACGTAAAACCTGCCTGTTTCAGCTGCGGGGGGATGACAACGAAGCCTCCGCTCCTGGAGGAGAGATTTCTCGGGCCGGCGCAGCGAGCGCCCTGCG